CGGACAGAGGCTTCATCTGTGGCAGGACAAGAAACTCACGGCCCACGTTTATACAAGTTTTTATATGAAGTCAAGTTTGTTTTAAGAATATTTAGTATTATTTGGTATATTTTACACTTATTCATAATTCAGTCTGATGGCTGCTTAAGGTTCTTGGACATGGTTCACTTGTCATCCGAGAGACTTCTGACTGGTTGTTAAATCAGATGTTTGGGGTCACAGCATCTTTAAGCTTCTGTGGCAGTTACATGTCAGAGAAGGTGAAGCTCACATGAGCAATGTAAACAATGAATACTGAGAATGTATTTGTAATTTAAAACCAGCCTGTAGTGGTTGATAGTACAAAAGTACACAGAGTAATGTTCACCCCGGTGCATCCACAGACACCAGTAATAATGACATCGTGCTCTCAGTCCAACAGGTGGCTTTCTCTGCTGCTCTGGTGGCCAGTGGTGAAGTGACCCTCGTACCCTCCAACAGAGATGTTACTATGATCTTCAAACATGTTGTCACTAACATTGGTAACGCCTACAACCCACAAACAGGTACTGAACGCAGATTATTCAACAGCGTTCACTTTTTTCTGTGTTAATATCCCTCTGACGGGCCGTGAATGTTCCACAGGTGTTTTCACTGCACCGGTGCGAGGAGCCTACCACTTCGAGTGGCACATTGGTGATGTTGAGGGCCCTACAGCTGCTGCACTGGTCAAGAACTCGGAGCGTGTGTTTTCTGCATATGCCTCTTTGGCACCTGGTCTTTATGGGACTTCTTCTGAGAGCGCTACGCTGCAGCTAGATGCCGGAGATGTTGTGTCTGTGAATCAGTGGTCTGGGCATAAGATCTACGACAATGTAAATCACCATGTCACCTTCAGTGGTCATCTGCTCTTCACCATGTGACTAGGAAACAGATGTTAAACGTAAAAAGTTAAAATCTTGTGTTTTCTTCTGTATCAGGATCAGACCTGCATTAAAGTGCACATAATGAGAAACAATGTAGGCCTATGGGGTCTCTTTACTTTCTTTTTTCCAGAAGTAGTTTTAATTTGTCTGCTTCTGTCTTTGAGCTTCATCACAGCTCTCTCTGTGGACATTTCTTCACTTTCGCTTCAAATGTACATATCAACACTGTTATGACCGGTGACGCTCTCTCCTTCTCCCTAGTGTCCTGTTCAAATTTTGACAAGTAACTGAGAGAAATACACAAAACTGTTTATAAGCAGTCCCATAACACCGAGCAAATAGGAAACCAATGTTGGAAAAGAAGAACGTAAAAGCACGGCCACAGAGCTCAGTGGAAAAACAAGACCACCACCTCAGGGAGGTAAACGGCACGGAGAGACAGTACAACTCAGCAGTGTCCTGAACTAAAAGGTGAAGGTGAGCATGATATTTTAGCTACTTTGGTATTTTTAGACAACTGAATACGCTGAAAACATCTGTGAAGCTCAGTTGTAAACACAAACCA